GTTTTGCCGAAGCGCACGCTGCATTGGCGAAAGTGAAGTCGTTCTTTTATGCGCTTAATATTAGTGAACGTGACGAGGAAAACATTTTGAACGTGGAAAGTGCTCTGTTTGGTCTAAAACGTAAAGTTTCGACAAACCAGTTGTCCATTAAAGACTTTTTTGGTAAAAAGAACTAACTTTGAAAGAGAAACATTGTTTTTTTTAAATTTTTAATGCTTTCCCGCATCTATCGTTTTCCCGCATTCATCGTTTTTATTTCCCACCCCCGCCGAAAACGATGCATCGAGGTTTCACTGTAGTTGCAAAGAAAGTGATATCGTTTTGTTAAACAATAAAGCGAAATCCATTTGCAAATTAAGCCAGGTGATGAACACTAAGGATGATTGTGATTAATCTGAAGGCTAAAGCTACTACTGCTTTAATAATAATTGGTCTGATTTTAGACTGGAAGCTGATGTTAAGAGACTAAAGACTGATCTTCAGTCCAGTAGACAACTGGAGCAGGATCTCCATAGTCAAATAAATACATTGATCTCTAGTGAGAAGAGTATTAAAAGTGAGCTGGCCCAGTTGCAACAGGATAATGATGATCTACAATCGAAGTAAGTAGTGTGTAATATGTGGTAAAAGTGAAAAAGACAAGAAGTGCATTGTTTTGCTCTTGACTCTAGTAGTCTTGATCACACCACAAAAGTTTCTTGTCAAAAATAATATATCAAGGTCAAAAGGGATAAAAAATTGAGATGTTGCTCGTTTATATGATAGAGCCTTCTTTCCTTCAGCATTTCATGAGGTTTTCTGTCTTCACTAGCTTCAAGTCACATAAAGCATGCATATTTCATAACTTACTCTCATGGTTTTGCAAAACTTGAATTTATTCACAAAATAATATATATTCTTTGGACTTCAAAGTATGCTTGACATTGACAACTTCCCTTTTTGGCAGTTTATTGATTATATAACCATGAACTTCTGAGGATAATTAACAGTATAATCTACATTCCAAAAATTATCATGCACAATTGCCCACATGTGCATGGTTGTCTTTCTAGCCAAGATGAAGAGTGTTTATACAAGCTCAGAAGTGAAAATGAAGAATAATCTGTGAGAAATCTTGAACATTCTTGACAATATCAAATTATCTGATGTAATTCCCAGAATATCATAAGAATCTAATTTAAAATTTATATACATATATCACTTATTTTATGTACTTGCTCCTTCATGATCATGTTGTCATGCTTTCTTTTCCCCCACTCATACATAAAAGAGTGTAGACCAAAGGTGGAAACCCCAATCTTTACAGCATGCATTAACATTGATAGTGGCATAACACTGTTGTCATTTTGTGAAAACGTGGACCTCTTTTTTAAAGATAAAATATTGCGTATCGCATAAAATTTTGATAGTAACTTCCGAGTAGTCATAATGTTCAAATAGTCCTGCAAGTGAAAGACACTTATTGAATTGCTTATACAGGCTGCATGGTCTAGTGATTGCTCGTCAAATGGACAAACAGACCATTTCTCAGCTGGAACGCCGTTTGCAAGATGAACGTCGCTTGCGAAGTTCCTGTGAAGCACAATTGGCTGCCGAACGAAAGGCCAAGAAATCAGAGGAGGCTGCAGCAACACGAGCTATTGCCATGGCGGCTGCTGTAAACAAGTAAGTGCAGAACAAGAATTGAGCTAGGAAGATCACATATCATCAGTTCTTTTTACTATTTAGAAAAAATGTATTGTCTATCCAGTATGTAAGACTTGGAGGGTAGCCTTGAATTTGCTGGAAGATGAATATTGTTTGTCCTCCGTGAAGATTTGTCATGGATTACTAAAAAGTGTTCTGTTAGGAAACTGAAGTTATGAAAGAATTTGATAGATTTGTTTGACAAAATTAAAGCCATGTTCAAAGGAGACTTGAGTATTGATCATTGGAATGTCAGAATTTTATGTAGCTTAACAGCTTTGCAGTTCTTAGAGAATATTTCATATTTTAGAAATTCATAATTTATGGTAAGGAGTTGTCAGCCCCTTGCATAATCCCCAAGCTTTCTTCAGGTGGGCCACTGCATGGTCTACCTCCTTAGCCTTGTGTATTCTGCCACTAGTTGACATTCTTTCAAAATCACTGACATTTCAGAGGTCCTTGCTGCCTCCATTGTCAGGTTTGTAGAATGTTCCATGGGCTGTGATACGTCCACTTTCCACATACAGGACACTGATCAGCTACAAATATATCCTTTTTCTGCTCCTGATGAGTTAAGGTTTTTTTACTACTTTTGTGTATAGGAAAGCAAATGATAGAAAAGTAAGAAGTAAACATAAAATAATTCGAAGATTTCTGTCTTCTGGGTTGTTGCGCTGTGTAGTCTGGCCTATGTTAACCACCGTTTCAGAGGTCATACTGCCTCTGACATCGCCCTGATGACGGAGGCAGTATGACCTACTCACAGCTGTGAAAACCTACTCACAGCTGTGAAAACCTCAAATCTTACATAAAATAATTTATCTTTCATGTATGGCTTTAAATTTGAGTGTGTGTTAAAGGAATGACAGTGGGAGTTTCCTGTCCTCTATAACTTAACATGCTATCCCATACAGATTCTCTGTCATTATCACCACTCTCTACCTGTTCATCATTATCATCATGTTACTAATATTTCATTTAACATAAATAATGCATAGAAGTTTCACTGCCATTGTCAAAGTGTAAGAATTTGTTTTAAATTGCTATTATTGAACTATCTGCCAGTTGTTTCTGTGACAGCACAAGTGATATATTTCTACTACTAATGTCTACCATGATATCAACTCAGGATCCAAGTGCACAGTTTGTTAGATCTTGAGACAGCCTTACATTCAGTATATCAAAGCAAGCATGGATACCTGTTCTGGGATTTTGGTTTTAAACAGCTGAGTTTTGTATTTCAGTGCATATTAAATACTTATAAAATAGTTTGAAAAATTAACTGTTCAAAGGACACTGAAATTTAGAGGCATTACTAACATCTTGAATATGTGACATGACATGCAGGCCTGCCTTATTGAGTGTGTTAGATAATGTTGAAGGACTACAATAATTTTTTTCTAAAATTTTATTGTTATAGAAATGAGTGCACAGAAAGTTGTCGAGCCAGGCGACGTGACCTGGAAACAGAGGGTAAACAGCTACGACGGGAACTGAAACTTAAAGACGACAGGTACCTGGCTGCCGAAAGAGAGATGCAGGTGAATTTCAGATTCCTGTCAACATTATAATTGGTTGAATAGTAAATATTTTTCTGTATTATTACTGTTTACATATTTACAGAGCCTGAGACAGTATAAAGAAAGCCATAATGAGACAGAAATATTGATGTCAGCTCTGTCTGCTATGCAAGACAAGAATGCTCATCTAGAAAACAGCCTCAGTGCAGAGACCCGCATCAAACTTGATCTCTTCTCTGCTCTGGGTGAAGCCAAGCGCCAACTAGAAATAAGAGAGAGTAAGTTATACCATATACTGTTCACATTAATCTTTTGAATACAGTGAAACCTTGATGCATCGTTTTCGGCGGGGGTGGGAAATAAAAACGATGAATGCGGGAAAATGATAGATGCGGGAAAGCATTAAAAATTTAAAAAAAAACAATGTTTCTCTTTCAAAGTTACTTCTTTTTACCAAAAAAGTCTTTAGTGGACAACTGGTTTGTCGAAACTTTACGTTTTAGACCAAACAGAGCACTTTCCACGTTCAAAATGTTTTCCTCGTCACGTTCACTAATATTAAGCGCATAAAAGAACGACTTCACTTTCGCCAATGCAGCGTGCGCTTCGGCAAA